TAGCTCACCTGGTAGAGCATGCGCGTACAAAGCGTAGGCGGAGTCCATGCGTGGGTTCGAATCCCACCGAGACTACTGAACGTTTCACAATCGACATACAAACTTCAAATCTGCCAATTAACTATTTGAACAAAGTGAGAAGACCAAAAGCTAATATCCACGGCTATAATCGGGTCCCTGAACAACTGGTAGTTTATCTAGTTGAGTTGGCTAAAAGCCCTGATTCCAAACAAGCCAAGAACAATCGTACGAACCACAAACATCCATAGGGGAGGATAGGCTGTGGCTAACTGAAGGCTGTTATTGGGGAATTGACAACTCAAGCCTGCGACTTCCTGTGGGTTCTGGAATTCAGTCCTCATTTGGGTCGATGGATTCGCATTACTGATGAAATTCGAATGACCACATGCTGCGGAAGCAGTCGGCATCGGCTTTAACAACTACCCTTAGTGTGCTCAAAAGCCATTTATGCAAGCACTCGAGCTCCCGTGGCCGAACTGCCAACAAGCGACATGTCATCTTACATCGGAGCAAATGATATTTGACTCCTAACGAATTCAGATCACCCACATAAAAAGTGAGGAACAAATTTTTTGCAAACTGTTGAACATTTTAATTACTTTCCTTCATAACTCCCTGTATGGTAGTGATACATACATTGTGTTGTAATGACATGAATAAGATGCACTGAAACGAGCTTGTTTGCCAATTTTGAGTTTTTCTTGTGTTCTGGGGGACAGTTTAAACATAAATAAATTTTATTGTATCGTGTTTCTTTGTGTATATATATATATATATATATATTCACTCACCACCCATCATGCAACATGCACCAAATCGAAAACCATCTGTCTCTACAGCGTGAGTAACGTTGGCTTTTATGAACCTCAGATCATGCGTAAATTGTTAGACTGGCAGTACCACCCATTGTAAACGAGTTTGTCCGCCGGATCATCATGTGCTAATTGCCACTTTAGTAGTAAATTGTACTTTTTGCTGAGTAAAACAAATGTTTACTTTATACGTGATTGATTATCGCTTGGAAGATTCTTTCGGTAATAATCTATTTCACCTCACTATTTTCATTTATTTTTATTTTTTATACCATTAGTATTCATTATTTTTATATTTTACAGTGGCCCCTCAATCCAACTCACATCTAGTCAGTTCCCATCCGGCTCCCGCCACTACTGGTTCCAATGGTGGTGCTCCAATAATTGCCACAGTTCAGGGGATTTGCGTGGCAAATAATACTTGTCCAGCTGGCCACCCTGCCGCTGCAGTACCCATCAGTAAAACATCACCGAGTTTCTGCGACAAGGGATCCGCCACTACTGCCACATCGGTCTCCATGGATCAAGAAATGGCACCGTCCTACCTAACGTTTGCGCCGAATCAGGATCCGAAATCTATCGTCAACAATTCTCCTTCCACCAGTGTATCAGTCCCCGTTCTCGAGGCTACTGTTCCCCAGACGACCAATGTGGATAGATGATCCCCTTGCGGTAGTTGCTGAGTAGAACTTGATCATATTATCTTCCGCCTTCGTTTGCAACTGAAACAGTTCACATGTTGACGATCTCATGACTGCACCTACCGCATCTTTCTGTCCACCCTACCTGTTCTTTCCGGTTGCTTCCGGATCGGAATTATCGTTCCTCATTCAGTCTGAACGATTTCCTCGGAATCAATAGGAAAATTACTTCTGTGATCCGATTTGCATGAACCCGCCAGCCGAATCCTGATACAGATTATGCGCATTGTTGTTGGTGGACTTCACATGCATCTTATCCATCTCAAACAATCATTCGCGTGCGCTCCGGTTACGATGATTGAATTTTATCCTTCCCAGTTCTCATGCCGTTCGTGAGACCTAACTTTCCAACATGTTTCAGCGAAGGTATGTTCTTTATCTATCGCCTGACTAGTGAACAGACAAGCGCCTTTTATAGTCTTCTTACTTGACTCCCAAAACAGCACTTGCAGAGGATTACCCCGGGGACAAGGAACTGTGCGTCCACCAAAGCCAAAACAAACACATTCACACAACGCAAAACACCTCCAGCTCGGTTCGGATCGGTTATTATTGTGTTCAACCAGCCACCGTGCTCCGTGCTTCATTTATCAGCTACCTTTATTTTAAGTTTTCTCTTCTATGGCAAGCAAACTTAATCATCGGTCACTTTCTATGCATACACCCACGACTCCTTTCTCTTTGCACACACACACACACACACACACACACACACACACACACACACAAGCACACTGTTGCAGCTTTCGCTTTCGTCTGATTTCCGTTTTGAGCATTTAATTACGCCTTGTACCGTATTGGNGACCTTTGCATGCCGGGGGGGGGGTATTATTCACCTCAACACAAGGCACACGAGTCATCACAGTTTTGCCTCCGTTCTCGAATGCGACCATCCTAGTTTCTTACGTTCCCTTTTTCGAGTCTCTGTTTTTTCCATCGCTATTTGAGATATACTGTCTCAAAGACTTTCTTCACATGTCATTCTCGTCAATGATGCTTTCATCTTTGAGCAATTTTTGTCCACATTCTCTTTCATTTCCTCCCATCCCCGCTTCTTCCAGTTTCTTCGAGTGGACAGATACCCCAGGATCCATATGGTATCCTATTCAGCTCGATCAACATCCCTGTAATTTGATGTTCACCACCACTCCTGTGACCCTTTTCCCCGTCGCAACCTAACCTTGCTTATCATGTTTCTATCTTAGTCCATGAATGCACGTGGTTGATTGCTCACGCCCGGTTTTGAATATATATACATATTCATTTTATATATCACATGATCAGTCAGCGTTACGTGCTTATCGACCACTATCTTTCCATCACCATCACCATCATCTATTTCTTTATCTGCGGAATGCGTTCACACCGACTTCTTCGTCCGTTCACTAAATGAACTCACTCCTAACTGATTCCTAAATTCTTACTCAGTCGCTCGTTTATCTTCTCGGATCGCTTTGTTCCGCAGTTAATGTCTGCCTTGTGTCACACAATCTGTCCATACGTCCATGGTCCGACCAGTTTGCATTATTGAAAGCAGAGTGCTACACACGGTCAGCCATTTGGGTAACCCGGCTGTTCTCTCCTCCTGTTACTGGCTTCTCGCTCTTGTTTGATTTTGCCTCTACTTTGCTTCCGTTGAATGAAGATATCCCCCGCCGCTAAAATCCTGTGCCTTTAGGTTCCAGTCGTTCTTTTACACGACCCGGATCGATGTGAAAGTGCCATCCCACAATCGTGTGCATTACTGTCTCGCTCGTGACCGTTCCCAATAGTCGTGCGTACTTTCCGATCCCCAAATGCGCCACTGTAATCGGATAGCTCGTCGACTTTGCTCTTTTTTCTGCTACACTCGTTTTGCTATTCCCGACAGATAACCCGGTGCGATATTGCAGCCTGTGCTGATGTACACAGATTCCTCGGTTCAGTCTCTGTCAATGTTCACGTTCGTTAACTCCCTCGAACCGAACCCATAGCCATTTACGACTGGTCGGGCGAAGAAACTAATCAACACTAAACTGCATTGCCATTGACCGTATCAACACAACCCATGCTTCAGTGTGCCTCTACTTTTGTACATATACCGGATACTACCCGTCTCGATTTTCACATTCACACATCGGTCAACCCTTCCACCCCTCCCACGATTCGGTTCATCTATGCAGCAACAGTTCGATTTGTGTTAGGCACGGGCGCTGATTCTTGTCGGACATTTAGGAAGGTTCTGTTTGAGGGGCTGTCTTCCTCCCGCATGACACACCGTTCACTGTAGCCCCCTGATCTTGATTATCTTCGTGCCTTTCAGTTCACATGATTTGTTGCTGTTGCCTACGATCTGGCAAACCTGAGTACCTTTTGGACACTGCATCCAGTCCCCACCTTGTCTAAAATAACCGGCTCGCATATTTGTTCATCGCGCTCCTCTCTTTTTCATTTCGTTCCAGGATGATGATGACCTTTTCATTGATGATAATGATGATAATATGTATATAGACAGACATAATCATGCATACGCATCCATTTTTATCCAACGCTCTTGATTAGGTACGTACTACTTATCTTTTTTTTTCTTTCTCGAAACAAAGACAACCAAACAAAAGTCCACCATGCCGTTGAATTCAAAATTTGTTGTTTTCTGTTGTCGACCTCACTTTGACATGACTTATCGGTAGTCGTGATCGCCCGCGGGTGGCACTTACGATAGCCTGGTACACGATGTGACATTATTTACAGACAGGTCACGTCTCGATGCTATTGACATTTGAAGTTTTCATATCAGAAAATGGGAAAATTCCTTACCTGTAATCGTTTTTTGTTTCGTAATCGAATGAGTATCATTTTGGTATTTGTGTACGCAGTTGCACAAAACGCCAGTATACGGTACACCAGTTCTGTTGGTCACCGTTTTTGTTCGGATGAGCTTGGAGGGTGCAGACGCTGGATGAAGGCGCCCAATAAGGACTATGGTACAGCTAACTGATCATGGTACAATTTTTTGCCTCTGCGAATCTTGCTTTCCGAGGTACGTGTTACGCGTACTAAATATTCTAGCTTTTGAACGCTTTATTAGGTTTTATGGATTTAATAAACGACAACCTCTAATTGTCTGATATAGAGATCGGTTCGCTCCCAACGGGCTGGCTTTTAAATAGACCCAGTCTACCAGGTGACATGTGGCGGGCGGGTATCAGTAGCGTGGATCGAGCGAACCCTGTAGTAGAATTGTAAACTTGAATTGCTTATAGCAAATCTCTGCGAATCGATTTTTTTTCAATATCGCAATGTCCTATGCGCATTCGGGATCATTTTTTTCAGTTTGTACAACCATTAGCCATGCACTTTCGTGCGCCGGTTTGGGTTGCTGTCTTTTAGATGAACAGTAGAAGAAAACAGGAAACCTGGAAGTAGAGTCGAAGAAAAAATGCAGAATTTCAGTGGACTAAGGTTGCAAAGAAATTTTGAAGATGCACGAACACTGTTGTTTATGACACTCAGCTTCTCTAACCACCGGTTACAATCCTCCCGTTCTCTCTAGCCATGGAGCGTAACGGGACTTGTGTGACCCAGAGTCCGTGTTCGGATTTTTTTACCCTCGTGCCGGGTTTTATCTTGTCCACCTTTGGCTTCATTCCACCCACTACCTGCCTATGGGAACGTCGCTCGCTGTGACAGCCTATTTGGTGACATGCGTAACACATGCCACAAATGATGTATTTTGTGGAGGCCAACCATTTCCTTCAGTGGGCGATCGCGATTACCTAAAACACTGCGTTTAACTTCAGAATTGTTTGTTCGGTTGCCGCACTGGATTCGTGCGATGCTGCGTAGACAGCGGTGTTCAAACATCGACATTCTGTCTTTACCCTGTTTTCTTAATGGACGTGTTTCTGTGCCTTATAGCAGAAATGGCTAAACTGCCGCGGCATACACTCGACCCTTGACAATCACCTGGATGACGCGACGGCGCCACAGATGTCTCAAGTTGGCAAATGCCAACCGAGCCTTCTGTATGCGAGTGACACTACATCCGTGTTCAGTCCACCGGGTGAGACATGGCTGCCCAAATTACGAAACATTTTCGCTTGCTCTGTCACTTCCCCAGTTAGAGTAAGGCTGGGTACTGGACCAACCCAGTCTTGTAGTAATATTTTACACTTTGAAGGTGCAAAGCGCATACCGAACATGGCTATACTGGTACTCAATCTGTCTGCATACTCCAGATGAGGCAGTCTGCCATATGGGGATGAAATCGGGCCTCTATCCTTGCATGAGGATAAAGCTGTTTCCATAATCACATCTATGATGGTCGAGTATAAAGGGAGAGAGGTCGACCGTGACGAACATTATTTTCCGTAGTGAACTCGAAAGAGTGCCTCAAGCTCGAACTCGACTTCGGCTGTTGGTATAAACGGATCGTAATATTGAGAAAACTTCTCGGGCACTCCCTTCAGAGAAAGATAACGCCAGAGTTAAGAGCGGTTAATAGTGCAATGAAGACAAATGGTGGGTCTAAAAAAGAATACCGGTACCCCAGAATTTGGCGCATAGTGAAAAAGTGGTCGATACAACCTCGACCGGGTCCTAAACCAACGTGGTTCTCAAGCGTGTACTCTTCACTTTCGGCAGACAATCAACGGAGTATGATCCCGGCGAGGGACAATGTTGATTAGACTAATTCCTCTGCTTTTTACGAGAGGATGTGTCACCTATAGACACCATTCCGTTGGAACTTCTTCCCTCACCCATATTGGGCCCATCTCGTCAACTCCAAGATCAACGCTGGATCTCCATCCCTAAATGCCGATGGGGACAGCCCATCTGAGCCAGAGGCCTTGTGCCTTTTGAGAATATTTAGTTCCCGGGAAACCTTCATTTCAGGTGGAGAACCGGCATCAACTGCGAGTATTTGCTCAATCTAGGTGTGTTTGTTTGTGTGTGTGGGAGGGAGGGGGGGGGGTAGATGA